TTAGGGCTGTGTGTATTCCAGGTAACTATTGCTGAGGCAGTTGCTGCCTAACATCTGAAAGGCAAAAAATAAAGTGGCGGTCTGGAATGCTTTTCACTGTTGTACTTGGTGTAACTCAGAGTTTAATTAGAGAAGTCACTGCATAATGTTAACTAAAAAACCTACACAATTATGGCAAAAAGAGTCAATGTTAGCAATCGTACGCAAAAACTATCTTGCCTCTCTCAAGATTAAAGGTGGAAAACATGTTCACAGTAATCCTGCTCACTAGGTAAGCTTTGCCTACAAATGCAGTGCTTCTGCACTCTTAAAAGAAGTAACTGAGAACACTACAGCTTTTCTGCTGAGATGGTGTTGGGTTTTTTTGGTGTGTGTATGTGTATTTTCTCCATTGTACAAAACAATAAAGAACAATGCCAACGGTTGAAGAGTATTAAACTATGAATTTTTTTGACACAAAAAGACATCTCTGTTATGTATATGCATGTAGAGGAAGGAGATTAGGTTGTAACATGTTAGTATCTTAAGCTCTAGGAACAATTAGGATGTGTTGCACTCATTCTTGTGGCATTTCTAACAGCTGTAGTTTGCATTTATTGCATCTCATTTGAAAACCTGATTTGGAAGCCGAGCTGTTTGAGAATCATAGAGCAGAATCATTAAGGTTGGAAAAGAAGAGAGAAGAGTGAGTGAAGTGTTGAACACCATGTATTTTAGAAATTATTTTGCAAATATGATTTTCAAAAATTTCTATGCTTCAAGCAAGGAAGAAATTGAAAGACATGAAAGAGCTTACTAATGACTGGGTAGGTAACTTTTGTGAGGGTGTACAATGTTTTACATCATCAGGAACTATTTATGTTAAATCCTCAAAAATTTTAAAGTATGATTCTCTATGGTCCTTGAGTTGCTGGTGTTGCACATGCCGCGTCTGCTTTAATTAATCTGGGACCCCTAGAGCAGGTGTCTCTAGAAAACAGCAGAGGTCTCCCATTCGTAGGCCTAGGAAAAAGGAGAGATAACTAGAAAGTAGAAAGTTTCCTTGAGAACGAAGAGAAAATAATTTGATAGCTGAAGCATAAGCCAGGATCCAGTTCCTTGGTGTGCTGCCAAGCCCCTGTCAGACTTGGGCAAATTGCTTTAAGCAAAGGAAGCATCTGTAGGGTAGCGAGATGGAGTTGGGTGGGTCGTGGGTTGCACCATCTTAAACGTGTGCTTGTGAGTTCAGCAATCAGGATGGGAGACAATGCAAGGCAGTCATTTACATTTTAAGAGACCAGTTTGTTTCCCGCCCCACTTGGATTAAAAAGGAAAATATTTTTGTTAGGTAATTACTTTTTTTAATTGCTCTGTTGCATCATTCTAATCAATGGTCCATTAACCAATCAAAGTATCAGTTTAAGCCAAGTCAAAAGGCCTTGTCTCTGACACTTCCAGATGTGAACAGTGACTTTGCTCTCAGGTTCTGGAATAAGAGAACTTAACAGGATTCAATTTTCAGAATGTTTTGGAAATTAGGCCCTTTTACGGGTTCTGGTCTACACCCAAGAAATAAGGCTTCCAAAACAGAAGTCATACTGACTGTGCACTTGAAGTTTATACTTGTTGACATTGATAGCCAAAAATACCCAAATAATTTTAAATGTGAGTAGAAGCAGGACATTGAACAGAGGGAGCACATCAACCTTTGTGAAGACTGAGCTGATTGAATTAAGTCCTTTCTCAAACAAATATATAAAAATTCCAGCTACAATAACTTTTCATGACCTGTAACATAAAAGTGGTTTGATCAGTTTTCTCCAAAACTTCATATAAACATTCTTTGCCTCAAGGCTAAATAGAGGAAATTACAGCCTGCAGCACTTTTCTAGGGAAAAAAAAAATGGGGCTAAAATAGATATTTATAAAAGAAGTTAGTTGCAGTTTCAATTATGATTCCCTTTCAGACATCCAAATAAGCTAGTGCAAGATCAACTCAAAACAACAGGGTGTGAAATGTTAACCTTTAAGGCACAAATGAGCATCATAGCATGAGAGTGTACCAATTACTCCACCTTGAGAGGGAAGTGGCTTACATTATGAGATAGCAGAAGTGTATAGAGCTATTTGAATAGTTCTGTAATGACACTATAATAATATGAAATATAATATTAAGTATTAAATAAATATAAATTACTATAAATATATATTTAAAATATAAATATACTATAACAGTATTCTAATACTGTGAAAGGCATGTTGTGTGTCCAAGTACCTTATTTCGTAGACTTGTTCTGGTTGGAAGAGACCTTCAAGATCAACTCAGTTCTTCAAGGTCGAAGCTCTTGTGCTTTGGCAAAGCTGCACTCCCAGGTGTGTACCACTGCCCTGTACCACCTGGCTCCTGAGGCATAATGTGTACCCTACAAAATGCCAGTGGGATTAAAGAAGGTCGCAGGTAGAAACACTCAAGCACTGCGGTCTCCAGTATGCCACAGTGCTGGGTTTCCTTCTTCATAGATGTTCTGCTCCTTTTTATGTCATTTTCTAAGTCTACATGTGTGGGTGAGGGAAGATGACTTCCAGTTATGATAGGTTAAATTTGTTCAGGAAGGAGTTTCAGGTGAGACACAGGACTTCTGTTACTGCTTTATAGCAGCCCAGTCAGACTGAAACATCAGGCAGGCGAGGCTTTGAGCAGATTCTCAGGTGTGCCCCTATGATATACCCAAATCCAGCTTCAGGTCTACGTGGTTTTGAGTGTTCCCAGAGTACAGAGCTTAAATTTGTCTTATAAATTTTGAATTACCATTTTCACTGTAATAGCACAAATAACATTGAATCTGTTAATAGTTCAGGAATGCATTTTATACAGTAATAGAACTGTATTAATTAAAAACTAAAATCAAGAAATAGCAGCCTTTGGTGGAATAGATAATACCCAGATTTGTTTGGCTTTTGTGCTTATTCTTCAGTGCTTTTTCCTCAGCTTTAAAACTTATGACATGTTCCCAACAAAAAGAAATTATTAAATTACTGCAATATAATTTAAGTTGCCGCTTAATTCCTTTTGCCACTGTTGGCTTAAAAAATGGCTTTAATGTGAAATGACAGGAAGCTCAAATACAGTAGAGTACTAGAAGTTTTGTTGAGAACACTGGAAGATGCTAGTTTTACCTAAAACCTCTATTTCATGCCTTAAAGTGCATTTGTTTGCTTTCTAGAATACAATCCAAACCTATGGAACAGATCTAGTCCCAGCGCTTTTTACGCAGTCCCTAGACTTCTGTGTTTCAAGGAACCAAAAGGGGCAGAAGTGTAAAAGCCAGGAAGGTACAAATGGTCTTGGTTAAATGTGTTTACACCCTGTTCATACTAGAGACAGAGAGACAGTGTGGAATAGCATGAAATTGGGAACCAACAAACCTGTAAAGCAGAAAAATTTGAATTATGTGCCCGCTGTTGACATCAGAGGCCATTGACTCTTCCAGAGTCCTGTCATTTGTATCTTTGTGGCTTGTATCATCACGTCCAGATGAAAAAAAAAACCACATGCCCCTGTTTAACAGAGGAAAATGTGCTCAGAAAGGCTGACCTGCCTGTAGTAATTGTGTTGTAATCCTGAACACTACTTACCTACAACTGGCTTATTAAGTCTTTCACTTTTTTCTTGTAGGGCAATTTGCACTCAGGTTTAGAACTTGGTAAGAATTAAGTTTGCTAGGCCTCCCCCTCCCCCTCAGCTCATCATCACCCTCCTTTTGTTTGCATTGCCTGCCTTCCCCGTGCCTACCTCTCATTATGCCTGCTTCTCTGCAGTTATTATGGGGAAAGTTTAATAAGTGAAGCAAGTTGGTCAGCATCCTTTGGAACTGGTTTGATTGGCTGTTAGGTTTAGTTCTTGGGCCATTCAGAATAGATGGACTCTCAGCTATTGACTGCTTTTCTACAGCTGTGAAAAGTCTCCTCCTGGAATTCTTGCCCACAGGAGGCAGCTGCCTCTGGGTTGTGACATGACACCTGTCATCAGACCTTTAATCTGTTAACTACTTGTACAGGATTCAAACTGTAATCTTTAACTAGCACTGGAAGTCAGTAAGAGGCAGTGACAGAATCTGTGCATTACTCTTCTCTCTGCTCTTCCAAGGAGGGGAGCATCAGTCTGCACCTCTGGCTGTCTTTGGGTGCAGTAAACTGCAGCACTCCAGCCTGAAGAGGAAGAAATACATCCCCTCAGCCAAGTAGTAGCATAACTCAAATGCCTTTCAGGAAAGCAGATGGGAGAGGTAGATTTGTCTTTCTGCTAGGGGCTTGAAGCTGAACATTTCCCCCTCCGTTTTAGGGGAGCACCCAAGTGCACGTTTATCTTTAGTCACAGAAGTAGCTGTTGCTACAGCATTTTGCAGAATCAAGCCCTGTGTGCTTAACTTATTAGGGTACACTATTCCCAGGAAGGTCAGTTTTCTTCCGAGTACTTTGATTAATCACGTGAAGGACTTCAGAACTGAACATACAGAGGGGCTGTTCTTGCCACTCCATGTGTTCATGTTTGGTTGTTCAGGAACAGGTTTTTATTTTTTTTTGTATGAGATGAAAATAAATGCCAATTTAGGCACCTAAATTCTTTACTTTCCTCTGCAAAATTTTACGTGGAGTTTCCACTCACAGAAGTTACAAACGTATCTTTCACAAGGTGATTGCCTTAAGGGAGCAAATAGTTGCAGGTCTGTACTCAGCACATCAGTGCCTGTGCTGAAAGTAACAGGCCAGGTGAAGTCCCTTAAGCTGTCTGATCAATTCCTCTCTTTTTTTACTTATATAGAGAAACATTTCAACATTATGAAGGGCAGGATAACACAAATAAATGCATCAAGAAGAGGAATAGCAATAGTGGTTCTCTGAGAAGTTCTAGTATTTGATTTTAACTTCTTTTCTCATATTTGAAGGGATCCAGAGCCTTAATGTGCGTTCATCCAGCTTTCTGAAGAGTCCTAGAAGTTTAAACAAGCACACGGGAAAAGTTTGTGTTTGTAAACATTTATTTTCTTGAACTGAAAAAGGCTTGCATCAGCACACGTTGTACAGCCTTGCAAATTACACAAATTGAAAAAATTTTGTTTCATTTATGTGCAATGAATCTTTAATGTCCAGTGAGCATCTGCAAATGATGAAAACTTAAACCATTAAAAAGGCTTCCAGCACTTCTCAAACAATTATCTTAGCGTGAAAAGGAAGAGAGAGAGATCCATACTGGTGGGAATGCAGGTAAAGTGCAAACATTTTGTCACTTGTGAAGAGACATTTTAGTTTCTTCACACTTGCTGAAAAGAAATACTAAAATGTGATTCAGTGAACATTCCTTGTAACCTATTCATATTCCCCTTTAAATAATTATTAGACCTGATGGATCAGAAGCTAATCCTTCAAGAGTACAACATACTTGTAATTTCTTTTGACATTGCTTGAAAGAATCTCAAAAGAAAATGACCATCTAGGGAGTTAGTTATGAAACTTATTTTTTTCCTTAAAAAAAAAAAAAAAGCCACAAGGGACAAAGAACAGGTTAAGTTGAAGATTTAGGGTAGTTTGCTAGAAAATTAGTGTAATTCATTGAAAATGGTTCTCTTTTCCCCTCCACCAATCCTCAGGTTCCTGCCTTGGAATGGACAGCTGTGTGCTGGCTGTGAAAAGGGATTATAAAATACAAATCTGAATATGGATTTTTATGAACGTTTGCTGTACAATAGAACTTTGGATCTGATACAAGAATTCAAAAATACAAAACAAAACTACTATAAAAGTAGGGGGCATTTAAACAGCATTCCTTGTAGAAAGCTGCCTGTCTCAAAGATGATTCCTTGCTATTGTCTGGGATTCACTCTGTGTGGTTTTTTCTTCATCTTGTTGGATCACTGGGATAGTTACTCTTCAGTGGCTCATGTCATACGACAGAACAGCCCAGGAGGCTCTGTGAAGAGAACAGAAACCCCGTAACATCAAGCCAATCAAGGAGAGGAGGACATGGAAGTAGTAAAGGCTGAGTGTCCACTGATGTAACTGCTACTGAGAACTGGCCCTTTCCAGAACATGAAAGTCGTAGTGCTTCTTGCTTGTTCTCAGCCTGAACTTGTTCACTGAGGTACTGTTTTGTTTCTTCAGCGCGTTCTGAGCAGCAGCCATGGTGGGGAAGGTGGCCAGCACGGTGTAGGTGGAGGCCAAGTCACTGGGTCTGGCCGGCTCAGCGCTCGCGCTGCCGTCCCCGCTGCCGCAGTAGCGGCGGTGCTGCTGCGTCTGTAGACACGGCGAGTCCCTTAGCCACCGAATCTTGGCACCAACTTTTAAAAGTTCTCCAAAGAGTTTCTCTGCTTCCATACGAGTTATGCCTTCTGGCAGTTCAGTAATTTCTAGAACTTTTCCCACAACTGAAACAAGAAGAACATTGAGCCTAAATTGGTCATTGTACATAACAACAAAGGCAATGGAAAGGAGTTATTTCATACTTGTATCTCTGGTTGGCTGATACCAAATACACAGGCATTCCATTTCTGGTATTCTGGAGAGCCTTCTGCCTTCACATTCAGCACAGCTTTAAAAGCTCATAGTACAGAAAGGGCCCTCAAAAGAGGGAGGGAAAAATAACAAATTTTGCAGCAGATTTGAGAACTCACTCTAGCATCTCACTGGTTTTGCTGGTTAGCTCTTCACACATCACCGTGCTAACGAACTAGTCTGTCATCTCAAAAAATCCCCTTCACTAAATTATTAAACAAAAGCTGATTTATCTGTAACTTTTTGCAAAGAACCTAATAGTAGGTAACACGTGCAATAGAAATTCTTTCCAGTAAACAGATGGAGATAGATGTCAGGTTTTATTTGGATGAGATCTTTACCAACTCAAAGCAGCTAATCTGTAGATCTCCCAATATGTTCCCCAAATCCCTGTGCTTATTCATATTAGAAGAAGAAAACAAGAGAAAGCACAAACTAATTCATGGCTTCTGTTTAATTTCATATTTTGTGCAAGTAAAAGGAAGTAAGGGTATGTATACCTAATATATCAGTACTTAATGTAACCATGGAATGGACATCCAGTAAACTGACAAACTGGCTTTTCCTTTTAGGCCTGTCCAGTCCTAATCTTCTCTGATCTTTACTCCAGCATTCAGAACTCCACTTTTGCAATTTAATTTCCCTCTTCCCCTCTCTCCAAATCAAGTCTTTCTCTCCATCCTTATGTTTGCTGTGTTTCCTATGTCCACCTCTACCCAATTACCATTCTGGCCCTTTTCTCACCTGTGCTTTTCTTGTGACATTCCCAGCCCATCACCACAATTCATTTTCTTGGAAGACTGTCCCTCAGCAATACCATACCTGGTTCTCCTGCACCAAGATCTGCTGAAGCAGCCTTCTTTGCTGGTTTCTTTCCCCTGTTTCCATGTCTGTTTCCAGGTTGACACTGGAAAGATTGACATAATGTACTTTAATGACAATATAACAGTATTTTAAAATTTATAGGTGACCTCAGTGAAAAATAGTGCAGAGGAAGGTCTGGAACATACCCTGCACTATCATGGTACAGAAAAGATTTTCATGATCATTTTTAGCCTTGGAGTTTAGCAATCCTGCAGTTAGATACACTCAATCCTTGGCTCCAGAAAAAAAGGGAGAAATCATAAAAAGAAACTTCACCTTAAATCTTCTTGGAAGAAGCCCCCTCCCCCTCGCCCCAGTCCTTCACATCATCTGGCTGACCTCGAGTAGAACTGAGGAAGGTAGAGGTAGGTGTCCTGTGTGTCTGTCCCAGAAATTAAATAGATGCCAAAACTTTCTAGCTTTCTTAACACTAATATTTTAGTTTGTTTTACAAGAAACAGGCCCATTCTTTTTTAGAAATACCCATGTGAATTTTCTATTTCTTTCTGAAATTGTTATTCAAATGTTCTCTGTGATTTTTGGCAAGGCTCGCAAATTGCTTAAAAAAATAATTCATAATCTACACTAAAATTTCAGGAAAATTTTATCACTTTTTAAAAATATAATGAACAAGAATAAGGGGAAGTATCAAGACAGAAAAAAAAAAAAAAGTTATTGAAAGCAGGCAACTTCCACTCTATTCTTCTAAGGCAGTAACATATTCCCCTGTTCATGGTAGTCCTGAGGTGTTTTTTTTCCAGTGTTGCCAGGACATTGCTCTCTTTAATACCTGTTGGCTTGTTACTTGTCCACGTAATAAAGGTGGTGGATTGTATTGCAGGGGTTGGCCAAGCAATGGGTATCTGGCATCTCCTTAAAAAGAAAGGTAATTAGAACGATTTTTCTGTTATATGATATCTTCCTCCAAGTTTCTCTTATGATGCATATCTTATACAGAAGAGAAAGCAGAGTAACTATGCATAAAGTAGTGTATTTGGCTAGGCTAAGGAAGTAACATTTGGCACAATTAAATAAATGCAAGTCAGTCACGTGCTGATCAGAAGGTGAAAAGGTACAAGCTTTTTTGCCTTTAAGGATTACATTGAGAAACACAGGAGAAGTTTTTCTTCATTGCAGCCTTATCTAAATCCTCCCGTTCCAAAATGAGCTTAATAAAGCTAAAGCTCCTCTCAGTGTACTAACTTAGTAATTTTCATGGTTATATCCCTGACTAGAGCCAGGTACATCTGCACGTTTCTGTTTGCCCCAAGGGTCCACAAAGACAAAGGAACAGAAGTTTTCAGTAATCACAAAAGATTAAGAAAGTTGAGAGGTAAACTTGACAACAGGCAACCTGGAATGTTTACAACAACGTTGGAATACAAATCAATGACAAAGATTATGCAGCAGATAAGAAAATAAGGTTCTCTGTATCAGTAAGAAAGACATACAGAATTTTCCGTAAGTTTTGCTTTAAAGTAAATCTTTCTGTATAGTAGAGCCATAAATTCTGAGTTTGGTAATTAAACCAGAATGTCTTTGCTCACTGAAAAGGGGTTTACTATAATTTGGTTTTTAAATGTTATCAACTATCACATCTCAGTGAAAACTCCCTTTTTTCTGTTAACATGGCAGCAAAGGACTGAAATTCTTATACAAGGAATTTTTTTTTGTCTTTGAGTGGGTACTGTTTGAGATACTAAGTTGAAGTAGCAACAGTATCAGCTAGAGGCTGTAATCCCATGTGCTAGATTTTCTACAAAGAAATAATTCTCACTTAGGCAGTGGTTTGATTCAGTGCATCATCAACTAATGAGTGAGTTTGACAGAACATTCATCTCAACATCACATCTCTATATACTTTATGTATTAGATGTATTAAGATCAGCTTGTCCCACATGACTTATTTTATCTTTGTAGCTCTAATATTGTATCTTGTGACAGTGTGTGTGAAGTTCTTGATTTATAAATTAAAATCTGAAGCTAAACTATATCAAACCTTTTATTAATATTTTCAATGCTGAAATGGGGAACTTCACATAGGAGAAAGCTTGTGGGGTATAGAAGCTCTCACAATAACAAGATCAAAAGCTTTTGAGAACACAGGCACTATCAGTGCAGACAGATAAGATGAAATTTTACATGATGCTTGAGTGGAAAACTGTTGATCCTGCTTCAACAGCATTACTGCTCAAGTGAGCCACAGTTTGGCAGGAAATCCTCATGTAACACATATTTTAAAATGGTCAAATAGAAAACATACACACACATTGGTTAACTAAAAATATACCTTGTCCAGGGACAAAAGGTCTAGAAAACTGGGACACAATAGAAAGAGGTGTTAACGTGGGACGGATGTTCTTCATGTTTGATAGCTGAGCTGGTGCTGGTGACTGGGCCGGTGAGGTGACAGGACTACCTAGTTGAGGACTATGCTGCAACTAGAATAAACAATGAGTTAGTGTTTAAAAGGCACCTGGCAGAACAAGCTGAACAACACCTACAGCACTCAAAGACTGGAGTAAGGTTAAATTATTATCAGAGCACATTTTTATTCCTCAAAAAACTTCTGAAAAGTCACATGAAGATGCAATTTATGCAAATGTAAAGTCATCCTGGAAAATAAAACAAGAACTTCATACCTGTGCAGCACTGTCTAAAGTGCTAAGTTCTGTGGACTTCTGCCCCCTTTGATGATCACAGTAATATTTACTCTGTTTCCACTGTGGAGGTGAATGGTTCCGAGGCTGAGGACTGTTGGGTATGTTTAGCTGCATCATTACTACTCCTCCACCTGGTGGTGGTGCTACTGCTACAAGACATAAAATCGGTAGAATACAGTTAGTTCCTCTACCATTTCAATTTTCATTTTAGAAGAACAGACGTGAATAAAAAAAAAAAAAACGGAGGGGGGGGGGAGCGTGGAGGGGAAATAACATAATGAATGTTTTACTAAATAAGCTGCTGAACTCTAAAATACTAGAGCAGTACCTTCTGTGCAATTACATCTCCATATAAATCTGTGCCAGTTAAATGACAGGGGCTTCCCAGAACTAGAAGAGATAGTGGAACCACTGAAACTTACTGTGGAGAATATTTTTGAAAGAAATAATTTTATTTAAGAGTAAAGTATTCAACACTCACTGTAGTTGCTGTCAGAGCAATGTGTTGAGAAACATGATATTAAGCAAAAATGTGTTTTATTTAAAAACAGAAGTTTCCTAGCTAGTTTTACATGATATACAGCAGCAATATGGACTCACAATGTTTTCTCTGATATGATGGCAGACTTTGGAAAGACCTCCAAGCAATCCGTAGAGGCAAAATTACCCTCATTTACAAGTTTTATATAGGAATGTTCTTCTTGGCAGAGAACGCAAACTGACCCCCACATCCTGTCCCACTTGGCCACTGTGATAGCTACAGAAACGCCAAAGTCAAGGGGGAAGAGCCAAACAGCCAGCACTGTTCCCTACGGTTCTGCCCGAGGAGCTGTGACCAGAGGCTGCCACAGGGAGAAACCGCCTCCCCCTTCGACTGGCTCTGTGGTGTAGGTAACATCCTATTTGTACGTGGTTGTTTGCAACTCCCATCTCTGCTTTGCCCACGTTTTACAGCACTTCGCAGAAACCATGATTCAAATACATGGTTTAAACGTCATTTAAAGAGGGAGTCTACAATCCACCTTTAAAGAGGGAGTCTTTTACAATCTTTTCAATTTATGACCTACGGCATAGCACCAGTTAGGAGCAGTCAGATACAGATAAGTGCATTCAGCTTCTCTTTTCTAAAATGGGCTGCTGTTTTCACTACTCCAGGCTCCTCAAAAAGCAGCAGACTCCTTCAAAAAGCAAACCAATCAGTGTAGAATAATGAACTCGTATTAAAACTATTCTAGTTTTAAAAAATTGTATTCTGAAATATTTACTACATTGATATTTATAAACATAAGTAATATTAGCAGTGTTTTCACATCTACACTTTATTTTTAATTGCAAAAAGTTCTACCCATATGTTACAGATTGAAATGGAAGCATTAGATACCTGGCCAACTTTAGCAGGGGGTATAACTTTAAGAGTCCTTGCTTTGTCCCTATAAGACCCACATTGCAAATATTTGCCTTGTTGCAAAGCAAAACAGAATATAACTTTGTTTATGGGTATCTACTACAAAATCAGAATAATATAACACAAAAGTTTTCAAGTAGTAAAGCCATAAACTTATGCAATCTCTGCGTCTAAACCCGAGATGTTCTCAACAAATATCTATATAAACACCGCATTTTATGCAAGAAAATTTTAGTATTTTATGCATATATTTGTAAAGATTTTAAATTATACTTATGTGCCTAATGCTGTTCTATAACATTATAGCATTTTATTCTGCAGCACTCTAGCATATTCTTTTGACTTATGTCTGTTCTCTGAGAACTAAACACCCAAAAAACATGCTTGTCTTTTGAAACTATCTACACTACCATTCTAAAAAAGTGTCACTCTCTGAAAACGCTGTTTAAACTGCAAAAGAAAATTCTGTACATCCAGCAAACTTGTTCTTTCTCCTATTTCCAGTTCCACAGCATTTCAGCAAATGAAAAGAAACAGAATTTTTTTCATAAACAGGCATCCTGACAAAATGAAGCATCACAGAACACGTAAGGCAGTTCGCAGACACGCGCCAAAAGCCATGAGAAGGGAAACCCAGAAGAAACCCTTGAAAGGCTTCCCAGATTTACAGTCCAGTCCTCTGTAACTTTTTCAAACAAAGAAACACAGCTCTGCTGCTTCTTTGTGTGTGCACTCCTTGTGGACTTGGACTTGCCTGGAAAGTCCACAATCAGTGGCCTTGACTCATCATCTCAGTATCACTTACTGAAAGCATACTTTTCTTTATTCTCTCAAAATTTGTTCTGTGCATCATAAAGGGCTTCCCCAAACTTCTTTAATGCACGGCTTAACAGGTTTCAGGCTTTCAAAATGGCATAAAGCCAGCACTTCCAGGATAGATTAGAAGGGCAGAAGACTCCAGTACTGCAAGGCCAGTTTTAGATGTCCTGAAACAAAGCTTTTCCAGAATAAAGCTCAAACAAACTTGAAGCAAAATGGAAACAAAGCCAAACCTGCCCATGAACTCTCACACTGCTAACCCAGCTATCTTGCCACTTAATGGCATGTTACCTGTTTACTAAACAGGCTCTAAAAATATCTTTAAAAGATAAACGTTTATAAGGAGCAAAACAGCTATAGTGGAGTCCAGGTCATTGACCTAGGGTTGTTTAATCTATCACTTGCAAAACACTGAGACAGCGCTGTTTGAGATTATCCCTTTGGCCAAAGCCTCCAATGTATCAAATTATTTACTGGTAAAAGAAAGACAGCACTGCTGTGATCACAGGATTGTTCCATAGCCTCTTGTTTGGAGGCTAACCCTAGTGCTCTGAATTTCCTGACCACACCAACAGCTTTCTGTTGGAAATCCAGAGTTCAAGTGTTTGGATATTAACATTTATAAACATAGCACAGATATGACAAGCTCTATGTCACAAGTGTTTTCACAAGCCATTGAGGCTGCTACTTATACACCTAAAATTAACCCAAATATTTTGTAGATCAAAAGTCATGTGAACATAATTTAAGTGCTTCTGCTAATCTGTTCAGATGAAGTTGCTGCTGGTGAAAACGGTCTGGTAATTTCTAACAGATTTCTAGACAGAATGCCTTCCATGAAATCCCAGCAAAATATACCTTTTATTGGCTGCATGATGGAAAGACCAGTGGGCGAACTTTTACATGATGAGGGTGGAGACACTATGCTGTAGTGCACAATGGAAGCAGCCTGTTGTGGCTTTGACTTTGATGAAGGTGGCAATAATGTAGGAGGTGATGGCTTCTTACTTGAATGGTTGCTATAAACTATGAAAGTAAAAGCAGTAAATAAGGCTACCATAGAAACAAACCCAAAACACCCCGCATGGCTTCAGAGCACTGAATTTAGCTTTTCAGCAGGTCAATACCTACCTCTCTTCAAACCCAGAACAGTTAAGAGTTTTCACCCTTTCTCAGGAACTCTGAAAAAAATCACTACTCCCACTCCATTAAGTGAAGTCTAGAATGCTCCTCAAGTAGCAGAGCCAAGCATAATGCTTCCAAAATGTACCTTGCTCATTCTATCAACTGTAAACACAAATCTCAAAGTTTTCAGAGCCTTGTAGCTGTTCAGGAAAAGGTGAAAGTCATTCTGCTGACAGCATATAGTTCCCCATGCCTGTCTCAACTCACAAGCAGACATGCAAGGCATCACGATGTATGCTGCTGAATTGTAAGAAAGCAATTTGAGAGCTTTCAGTGGTAAACAAGTGGAGATGTGAAATTATCCAGTAGAGCTTCAAAAATGGAACATAGAAGGAAATACAGCAGTTAATTCTGAATCAAACCCTTAATAGCAAATATCCAACCAACCAGCATTTTAATAGCTAGGCATTTTCAGGCTTTCAATAAAAACTTTACACCCCCCACCTGCACACTGCTGTCCTTGAAGCTGCTGTGAGTTGCATGGCGATGATGTTCTGGGAAACTGTATCTGCTCTGATCCAGGAGGCTGCAAATATCCTACTGATGAACTGTAATAATGACAATAACAAAAAAAGAACATGACCAATAGGCATTTATGCTATACATTTATTTAATCATGATTGCTGCATTTGCTGTCTGCAGGTACCACAAATCACCAAGATTTTGTTCATTTTAAATTCAACAATATTCCTGCCCACCCCCAAGTCTACTCGTTCTTCAGAAAACTTGTTTCCAATCTCTTCCTTGGCAAAGACTTATGCCCTGCATACCTTAAGAAGCTGTACTAAGTCACCTATTTCAAAACACTATTTTTGTGTCGATAGTGCTGTATCAGTATAAAGACAAGCAGAATAATACTATGAAGACAATCTGTTGTCTTGTCCAATCAACCAGAGTTAGGTCTCAGTTAAAGGATCACCACAGAACCTGCCATGAGGATTTTGGATGCAGGCCCTCAGCTGGAGGCTGGCCCCATGCAGCCGAGCCAGCCTATTAAACACTCCAAACAGGCACAGCTCTGCTTCAGTGGAAAGTAACACAGCTCCCAGAGAGCATTGCCTTTCCATGGCCTACCAAATAGGGTGGGGAAAGAAGGATGGCTCCAGGAGAGAAACAAACTTTGTTTGTAGTATGTATGAAAAGGATAAAAGTTTATTTATGCTATGTATTATTCAGGGGAAAAAAAAAAAAAAAACAGCCACAAAACAAACAGGTAACAGATGCAGGCAAATTCTATCATAGCACTAACTGATCACACTCTAGAGCCAGAGCATCATGTTGCTGGATCATAATCAGAATGGTGCCTATGGAATCCTGTACTTCATTTCTGTACTAACAGATAAACATTTTGAGGGAATGAGAGAAAAAAATTCAGACTGGAAAAGAAAAAGGTATCATCATGTTGTACTCACCATTTTTACCTATGCCATCACAAAAAGTTAGTTCCATCCTTTGTCCCACAGTTCAGTTATAGAATTTTAATTTAAAGATTCCCTTCCATTAAAGCAAAACTCAGTGAAGGCTCAAGCAGATGGTTTTATATCTGCACAGAATGTGTGCTATCACAAGGCTTCTCATCTGCCTACTGTCCCTAGTTTTTAGTAGCGACCTGCAGGTTGAGTCTGTTCAGTTCTGCTTTCCTTGTCACAGTGCTCCAACACAACTACTTCAGTAAAAGCAAGGTGCTGTCACTAGCTGCTAGTCTGCCCTGAATTCCTAAGAAATGTTTCCCTGTTGAAAAGAGGGCGACATTCTAAATGACATAGCAACAAAACTAACTTCAAAAAAGTCTGGGATTCTGTCTACCTTTGACTTCATTGGACCTCAAATATAACTACAGAAGCAAAGGACAAAAAGAACCTTCAGATACAAAGAATAAGAATTCAGATTTAAGTGGATGAAGCCATCAGTGATGACAAATACTATTTAAGTCTCTGCACTCACAGAAAGATGAAAAAAGCTTCCTACTGCTGCTGCTTGTTAAAAATATCTTGTGTGAGCTTTTAAAATGATGCACATGTGAGTTTAAAAAACTAGAGAAAAAAATTTGAAACAAGCATTACTCCCAATTCGTTCTTTTAGGTATCTGCTTAGCTGTTCTCTCACAAACACTCAAATTGTGCTTGGGACAAAGATGGTCAGTAAATAAAAGGTTTTTATCAAACAAAAACCAAGCATAGGAAGAAGTGTTTTCCAGTCTTAACAAGTATCTCCCAGTTAAAGCAGTGCCAGTTGCTTTACTTTATTCCATAAAAGCAAAACTAAATAGATAATAAAGCCTCTGTAAGTCTGCCTTTAAAATGCATGGTAATTGGTGAGATACTACAGCAGATCCTATCAATCATGACATGGCAATCCAGCCTGGTTGCTGAGACATCCGATCCCCGGGCTGAGCTCACCTCAAGTTGTTCTGTTGGCCTGAGGGAATGACGCTGTAGTACACTGGCATTCCACCCTGGTTTGTCTGGCTGGGAATTAGAACTGGCTGTTGGTACGTCTGCTGGGGCACTGCTTGGGAACCTTGAGGCACCGAAACCTACAATTGAGAACACACTTTTATTTCTGTGGACAACCTTTCTTTCTGCATCTTGACCATCACCTAGTTTATTTATACAAGATTTCATTAAAAAACCACCGAAACGACAAAACAGAACAAAAAAGGAACTGAAAGATCTGCTGGAGTTCTCCAAATCCACAAGACTGTTGATGAGAGTAGTTGAAATAATAGTGCCTTACTAAAAGAAATATTTTTATCTTCTTCCCCAAAGATGGTAATGTTGGTTCTAAGGGACTCCAATTAAGAAAAGAGATGCTCTCTACAACAGAAAGCAGGGAGATGGGGAAGGAAATCTTATGAGCTTTTTGTTCCACATCCTCTGAATCGCAATTAACTCAGCACTTGGCTTTCAATGGGACTAGAATTTGTACAATTGTGACAGAATTTCCTCTCACTTCAGTTGTGGGTTTTTTTTCTTATTATTATTACTTTATTTCTGTCCCCAAAGTCACCTTTGACAACTGCTCATATCCTTCTACAAAGTAATGCACTAGGGGAAAAAAAAAACAAAAAACCCCCAAACAAACAAAAACAACAACACACCACACACAAAGAAAACCACACACACCCCAAAAAAACAAAAACAAAAAAATCCACACCACAACAGAAAAAAAAAAAACACAAACAAAACCCAGCCAACAAAACAAAAAACCTCAAACACACCGTAAAGTGACTGGAGAGTTATGAATAAATCACCCACCTGATAAGATGGCACTGAAGGATACGGAACAATCACACCTTGAATTTGATTCCCAGCGCTGTTGTGTTGGCCACTGACTAGGTTCTGATTCTGAGACTGCTGAACTCCAACTAACCCCTGGTAGTTTTGCTGCTGGTTAGGCAAAACCTGGTAACCTGAAATTACACATTTAAATCTTATTTTGAAATAATGAACACGTTTTATACACAGTTGTCTATGTGGAAATGTATGTGTAGCTTTTCCAGTGGCTTTTTAAATCAAGCAACTTCATAAGAGTTGAACTTATCATGCATATAAAAAGAAGCCAACATTAGAATTAACAAATTTGTTCATTTGGATCCAGCATGAAATACTGTATGTACTACTTACAGTGCTGCTGCCACATGCCTCCAGTATTTATTTACACTTTGAGTCACAGGCATTAACACCTTGATTTGGTAAGGGAAAGTGAAAAGCATTTGAACCAGGCGTGCCAGATAATATCAAGCCCATTTGTCTGTTATCATGAACGAGGCCATTCTAGGTACTTTAGTTTTTAAATTCTAGTGATGCTAAATTCTACTAGTACCTCAAGTGCCCTAGGGATGACAGTGTCTTGGCTATGATTCAGAACTGAATCACACTTCAAGAAAATTTGTGTAAGGTATGTGTACAAATCTTTTTAAAAAGGGCAATTTCTACTGAAACCTCTAATACTAAAAACAAGAGGACTGAGAGAAATCTTCCATGTTCCTATACAGTGGAAGACATTTTATATTCAAATTTAGCTAGGGGGAGAAATATTTTCATATTCACCCTTCTGTAGTGCCTCTACCATAACTGATTATTGCTTAAACTGGTATCCTCTGCTACCTTTAAAAATGGCCTAAAACCACCAAAACCCCGGCATGAACGCCAAACAAGCAACTTGTACATTTATTAGGTCCAACCTAAAAAAAAGTGGAAGTTAAAGTGCATAGGAGGTAACTGCTACTATGATCAAAACACATGGAGAACACCAAGCACGTTCTTTTGTCATATTCTGTTATCCAGGCACGAGCCACTTCCCACATCAGCAAGCCCTGTAACTGTCAGTGTTTCTGAGACAAAGCCACTTGTCACTCCAGACTAACTGAACTGGGCTCGCTGAGACACGCCAATGGCAAGGACAGTCTGTGCTCAACTCCAGACCAGTCGCATTCTCCTGACCTTCACATCCCCCATGCTCCCTACCTAAGTATGGAACTGTCAGAAAGTCAACAGAGCTGCAAAAATCCACTTGGGGTTTTTGAACTGTGTTTAAAAAAACCCTGCATGGTATATTTTGAAAACAATTCAGTTAGCACTTTTTTTGGTAAACAAACCCCAGCAATGTTCATCGATGACATACACGAAGGGCACAATGAACATTGCTGCAGGCTCAGTTGGCTGTCTCCATAGAACTTGGAACAATGAAGACTAAAAAAAGACTGTTAATCAAATATTTCTTCAGAAAATTAAAAGGAAGAAGGTTCTGTTTGTTAAAACTAAGAGAGCTATTAAAGACAAACACACAACACATGAGAAATATTTTCAGAGGACTATACAAAACTTCAGAACAAGGCATGCTTGAATTAGGATTAGTAAGTAGAATTTTTAGCAGCTTTTTACTGTGGACAAAAATCCATCTCAGGCCTGTAATAAACCAAATGCTTGAATGTAGCTGGTTACAAAGTGATCTATGGGGCCCTAAAAAGCAGCAGAACACGAAGTTGTGGTATATGACGGATCCAATCAATACATCTGCCATCTAAACTCCTCATTTCCCAGAAATTGCAACGCAGCTGTGAATATTTTTCAGCTTTTTCTGGCACTTCCCGAGACAGACACGATCAATTTTGCAAGCAGAGAGAACTGGAACAATATAAATGGACTGCCAAGAAGGTTCCCCACAGCGTGCCAGAGAATGCACTATTTTTAGTTTCACAATTTCACCTCTGCATGGAGAATGGTCTGACAGAAATGCAGCACTCAGCAGAAAAACCACACCTGCCATACAAATTGTCTCATTACAGAGAAATACTCTGAAACAGTAGACAAGAATAAAGAAGCATGCTTCTTAATACTTATGTCATTTAAAAGAAATCACTGTTAATAGGAAAAGTTAACTTTGAGAACACAGAAATACATTTTCTGAATAACACATTACGAGTGAGCATGCATAGTCACTTGGTTAACAGGCTACGAGCACAGCCTGGCTACAACTGCAGCTGCTGCTACAAGTGTAGTAGTTTCCTTGTCAGCTGTTGGGAAGCAGAAGCAAGTTGAACTTCAGGTGATGTTGCTACAGTTTACTGTAGTTCAGGTAAAATTTCTAATCAGCCTCTAGGTCTCATGGTATCTGGGCCCTCATTATCACATGGCAATCAAAACCACCTTTTTCTTAAAGAGGGTTTTCTTCTCCCAACATCTTTCAGGCAACCACAGCATTAGAAGTGAACCCCCCCCAATATTTCACCTGAAACCTCTTTACAAAGGAAGCCAGGGAGCAGCTGAAAAAGAGACCGGTTCACTGTGAGAAATGTAAACCTCTCAGACAGTGTTACGGCCCCGAATCCAACAGCTCACACCCTCGGGCCGCTCCGGAACCGCAGAGCAAAAGTGGCTTTGGTTGCCACACTCTCAGAAGGCATCATCTTTTATCTACATTTGTGCTTGGAAAGTTATTTACTTAGTAACCACTTTATAAGATGAACAAAACCCATGGCTTTAATGTAATGTATGCTGTGTTAATTCTCATTTCTGAGCAGACACATTGCTGTGTTACCCAAGTAACACGCTGCCTTTTGTCTCAAAACCAGCTGTAGCTAATAAGCATCAACCATTTCAGATATAGCTTTGTGGCAACTTAATACAGATGTTTACAGTTAAAAGTGAATCTACAGAAAAGAATTTCAAAATACACCAGCTCACGAGCAGTTTACAGAATAGAAAACACGACATGGAACCTTCCATCTCTAGGGTGCCAATTCAAATTTGTCTATAAAGTGGTAAATGAGAGCCAGCAATGGCTTAGTAGCAATTTGGAGATTTTGAGTTAAATTATGCAGTTACTAGTAGAATACTTCTGTCATTAGTGCTAGCAAACACTGAGTAACCAAACAGGACTGAATGGAATGTTTGCTGGACTACCCCTTTGCTACTTAAAGGTGATCCCTTGAGGTGAGGTTATAGGTGTTAGGTGCATTATCAAAGCAGCAGAGCAGCTGTGCTACTACACTTGTTTTATTTCTTGTAGGTCAGAGAGGGAGGTTTCAGCCACTAGAGCTTTTCACCCAGTCCACATTATAGGCAGTGAAATTCAGTCAAAATGTAAAAAGCTAAAATCATACAAGAAAGAAACTCACTTACCTAACAGCAACTTATTCCTCCCTTGGCACCTTGGTGCTGCTGCACCGCCAGCCCACACATTCAAATTCAGATTTTGTGTTGCTACACAGATTCACTGGGATCTCTCCCATTTAGAGTTTATGGGCTATTCAAATAGGTCATCTCCATAAATGGGGAAGTAACCCCAGCTAAGCCTCATATTTTTTGCTATCAAGTAGTCTAGGTGTTAAAAATTGTGGGGAAGGAAAGTAGGCTGTGTAATACAGTTGGATAATGCATCTGTAACAGCAGTGGATAAAACAACTTGCAAAAACGAGTGATATTCCTTTGAAAAAATGTCAGTATGCTTTCACTCCTGAAGAGTGCAAAGTGGTTATCTATTTTGCAGTAAGCAGGTACTGACAGTAATTTAAAATTATCTGAGAACCCTACCATAAGTGGGCATCAGAGCTTGATGACTCTGCAATGAAATGATCTTGTGTAAATTTGTGAACCGAACCCTGAGTAACAGCTTCAAGTGTTGCTGCTGTTGGGAGCACTCCCTAGAAGAGCTGTGGAAGAGGGAGACCTCCCTCTTACAGGCTGCTTCATGGAACAGCTACAAAGAAATCCAGTCAGTATTTGTAAAAGCCGATCTTTCATCCTGTTTCTGTAGATCAACACACAGTTTAGAGGTGGAGGGAGGAATTAAAACAAAAAATCTTTCTTTCCCAGGAGAAACTCAAAAAGAAACTAAGCCAAATGTGTTGAAGTAAGACATGGTCTAAAAAAATTATTTTTAAGGATCCCTGCCTCCTAACATCACTAGTTATGTCTTAAAAGCTCTGACTGTGAGTCAAGATACCGCTCAGAAGTAAATCTGTTTCAGGAATTTAAATCTTACTGAAGAAATCATAACAATATTTTATAGATTATCAGAATAATGGTAGCTACAGTTACAATTTGTAAGGAAAAAAAGCAAAGAAAGGAGACAGAAATGCAGCTTGGAAATACTCATAGAACAGTAGCTCAGGAACAGCTGAGAAGTCTTTACTAAAAAATAGGAGGAGCAGAAAACTAATTCTAACCACTTTAGTCTCATTACATATTCTATTCAACACCCAGATACCTTTAATCATAGGACAGAAATTAAAAATTAACAGTACCACCTGGATCTTTCATGCCACAACATCTAAAATTAATATCTTTTGTTTAAAACTTTCAGTTAAGGTACATCTCTGCAATGTTACATCACTTAAAGGTACTAATTTAAAAAGTAAGTTACTAAGTTTACAAGTTTGTTTGGTTTTTTTTAATTATTCAGTTCTAAACTTAAAAAAAAATCCTATAATTAAAGTTACAGCATAAGACATTCATAGCAATAGCTCATCTCAAGTTTCATGAACAACCAACTGCCATTTTTCCACCTTAGGTTAGTTACTGGCCTGGTTTGGGGTAGAACAGAACTAATTCTGCTCAGTGATTTTACTTTTCAGCTAAAGCTCTAACTGCACTTTCTGAATTGTCTGCTTCTAGCAGGGATAACGCTCCATGTGTAGAGTTACCACCAGGGATTGGTGTGCAGACCAACGTCACTGCTATACCCTGTGTACCACATGGAGAGGGCAGAAAACAAAGCTGCACCTGCAGAGGGGAGTGGACAAGACAAGTGATCCTAAATTGACCAGTGGGGTATTCCATCCCATGTCCCCCATATTCAGTATAAAGCTGAGGGATCATGAGGGACAAGCCCATTCCTCCCTTTTGCTGCTTCTTCAACGGCCAGCATCCAAGGAGGACTCCATCCATCCTGCCTTCGATCCTGATCCGAACACCAGAATCCAGCTCCCATCTGCCACTGAGTCCAGCCTGGGACCTTGCCCAGGGTTTGCTCCCCAGCCAGGGATGATGGTGACGTATTGCCATTGGGGGGCAGTTGAGATCAATACTGGTTTTGTATATATTTAAATATATTCCATTTTATTATTATTTTTAGTAGTAACATTATTATTTTCACTAAAGCTGTTTTACTTTGCTAATCGATAAGTCTCTCTCCCTCACTCCCTTTCTCTTCCCCTTTTGGGGGGAGAGGGATTAACAGAGGGCATCTGTTACAGCTCAGGGGGCAGCCCTGACCCTAAGGAGTGATGGTTACACTTTGTATGTCATATTTGAGCTTCTTCTTTTTCTCAAATATTACAGCAAAATAAGTTTAAAACCAAACCCAAGCGAAAGCGCGCAGGAGCTGTTGCACTGAAGCGCTGCCAGAGCCCCACACACCTGTCTGCTGGGCGGGCTGTGCCAGCGGCTGGGCCTTCTGGGCGGCGTGAA